CTACTTCTACTACTACTATTTACTGCTGAACACTACTACTACTACTACTACTACTACTACTACTACTACTACTACTACTACGACTACTATTACTACTACTACTACTACTACTACTACTACTACTACAACTACTACTACTACTACTACTACTACTACTACTACTACTACTACTACTACTACTACTACGACGACGACGACGACGACGACGACGACGACGACGACGACGACGACGACGACGACTACACTACTAATGCAAATATTCCCTTTCTATATTTTTACAATCCGGGGGGGTGGGAACCCCCCCCCCCCCGGAAAATCGGACCCCCGGGATCTGGCGCTTTTGGGGCCCCCTGGACGCCTTGCAATGGGTCCCCCGGGCCTTCCGGGCCTCCTGGACGCCCCTGCCGGGCCTTGCCAGCGGGCCCAAAGCGGTCAGGAGGGCGGCCAAACGGCCCCGCGAGAGCCCCACGCGGCCCCAGACAGCCCCAAGACGCCCGAAGACGACCCAAAGAAGACCCCCAAGAGGTCCTCCAAGTGCAAAAAACAACACTTTCCTTTAGTTTTTTATTGAATTTTTGGACATTCGGTTCTTCGGTATTCCGTGCGTCCGAGTCCGCCGAAGAGGCCCCAAAAATCCTCCCACAACGGTGTCAAAGGGCTTCCAGACAGTCCAAAAGAGCTCCAATATGGTCCAACAGGGCCGCAAGATGGCCCCAAGAGAGCCCCGCTGACAGCCCCAGATGGCCCCAAGACGCCTCCCGAAGCACTCCAAATCGTGACCCGGTCGTTCAGGGAGACCGTGGTTGGTAGCAAGGTGGCCGCAAGAAGCCCCCAGAGGCCCCCAAAAGGCGCCCAGGAGGCCCCCAGAGGTCCCCAAAAAGCTTTTGAGAGGGGCCCAAGAACACCTCCAAAGAGGAGCCCCTGCAATAAAAACTGGGGATGAGGACAAGGAGTGGCTCGCAGACAAGGAAGATTACGAGCAAGAGGAGAGGAAGTATAAGGATAATACATAACATTACTATAACGACGATGGCGCAAACGGCAACAATGAATCATCGCTATATTTGGTTATCCTGCATGCCGAGCTTTAAGAACCAAGGTGCATGGCGCGAAGCGCCAATGCAGTCTTGTATATATATATATATATATATATATATATATAAGGTAGGAGGTAGGAGCAGGCGTAAAAGTATGAGTAAACCAGGAGTAGGAATACGAGGAGGAGGAGGAGGAGGAGGAGGAGGACGGGGAGGACCAGTGCAAACCCAATCATCAACGATGTTGGTATAAACCCTCCCTCCAAGCTCCCTTTTCATAGGAACCATAAGGAGGAGCACGATCAGGACGAGGAACAGGACGAGAGGGCGACGGCAAAAGCTGGCGGCGCCTCGAGGCACTCCATGAGAGTCGCTATCCTCGGCTGCGCGAGCACTGCCTGCGGAGGGCCCCGGCTGCCAGGGGGCGACAGGGGCAGGGGCAGTGGTATGGGCAGTGGTAATCGACCCGTATCACAAGGACGCACGGTAAGGATGCAAGGGAATTGGAAGGCCATGTCGACACTTCGCGGGTGCAGCGCGGCCAGCGAAAGCAGCCAAGGATGGGGCGAGGAGGCAAGGATGCAAAGGTACCCTTGGGAAGGTTGCCCATCATTGCCATGCGGGCTGACTGCAGGGGCAGCGGCAGGGGCAGCGGCAGGGGCAGGGGCAGTGCCGGCGGGCGCTGCGAAGGAAAAGAAGGGCACCCGCGCAACATCAGCGCACGGAGGACGGTGTCACTCTTCCGGTGCCGAAGACACCCGTCTCAGGGCGACCACGAAGCTTTCGACCCTGGCGTGCGACCGTACGGATCTGAGTTTTCCAGCCGCCCTGCGACAGGCGTTCCCGACGGCGCAACCAAAATACGAGCGAGGAGGCCGAACGGCCACTCACTGCCCCTGGGTGCGTGGCAGAAATGGGGTTCCGCAGTGCGGATTGTTGTTGTTGCTGTTGTTGTTGGTGGTGGTGCTGGCGCTGTTGAATTCTCATGTCTAGAACATAGAGATTGTTGATCCCCTTCGGTGCACCTTTTGCTATTTCAATGAAAATGTTATCCCTGGGGCTGGCATCCATTTTTTCCAAAGAAACTGTTGGTGCTCAAACTGTGTTGTTGGCCTTCGGTTTACTACAACATCAACAACAACAGCAACAACAACACAAACAAACACAAAAACGACAACAACAACAACAACAACAACAACAACAACAACAACAACAATCATTTTACCCGAACGCTCAGTGTTCTCCCCAGTGCCAGGGTTTTCATGCGACGCCAGCCAATACCCCCACTTCGTGGGGGGGCAATGCAAGCTCTACCAAACATCCACACGACTCTCGGGAACCACCCACACCCAGCTTCCCGCCCTATGACGTCAGGACACTTCACTTCGTGGCGCGCGGACGATCGTGGATACTACACTGGCGTGGAGTACACACCCGCAGAGGTTAATCACTTGTTTGGGCCCCGCATGTGCCCCGCATCGTGCATTTGTTGCGCATGATATGAGAGCAAGACAGAGAGAGAGAGAGAGCAAGACAGAGAGACAGAGAGAGAGAGAGAGAGAGAGAGCAAGACAGAGAGCCAGAGGAGAGCTACGGTGCGATTCGTGTGATTTTATGATGCGCGGTGCTAAAAATTCTTAAAAACCCAATGATTTTTGGAGATTTCGGCGTGCGCGCGCGAAGAAAAAACGAATATGTCCCGCATGGTATTATTTGACAGGGATGATGGCCCTGGCAGGTGCGCAAACGTTGTCGCAGAAGTTCGAAAAAGTTGCTCGCAAAAGCCCGTTTGACAGAATTGTTTAAAAAGTGTTGGTTTTCCTACGAATCCGCAAGAGCGCGCGGAAGAACATTTTGACAATTTTTTCTTAAAAAACCATTGGGTTTTTGATGTTTTTATGTTAAAATCGCTACGAAACCTAAGGTTTTGGAAGGATTTCGTCTTGCGCGCACGAATGTCCACTTTACCTTATTTTTTGCAAGGGATTCTTGCAATTTGATCAAGTAAGAACAAGAATTTTCATTTTATAGTGTTTTTTGCAAGGGAAAACGGAGTACAACAAAACAACCGGATCCGGTAATAATTCACTTTTCTGAAGCTTTCGCTAAAAAATGATGAAAATGTAGCTGCGGCCTAGGTTTTGGAGGGGGGTCGCGCACCAGGGGTCCCAACAATAATTATTCTTTAGAAGTAATAATGTTCAACAACAATTACTAACACATTTAAGACTGGGGACACTCCGTTCTCACCAGTGCCAGGGTTTTCATAGGAGGCGGGCAATACCCCCACTTTGTGGGGGGGCCGGTTCAAGCTCTACCAAATTTCCAAACGACTCTTCGCCACCACCCACACCCAGCTTCCCGCCCTATGACGTTCGGACACTTCACTTCGTGGCATGCGGACGACCGTGGCTACTATTCAGGGCCCCGCGGCCGACGACGACGGCGTGCGCGCGCGAAGAAAAAACGAATGTGTCCCGCATGGTATTATTTGACAGGGATGATGGCCCTGGCAGGTGCGCAACCGTTGTTGCAGAAGTTCGAAAAAGTTGCTCGCAAAAGCCCGTTTGACAGAAATGTTTAAAAAGTGTTGGGTTTCCTACGAATCCGCAAGAGCGCGCGGGATGAAATTTTGACATTTTTTTGAAAAAAAACCATTGGTTTTTTGATGTTTTTATGTTAAAATCGCTACGAAAACTAAGGTTTTGGAAGGATTTCGTCTTGCGCGCGCGAATGTCCACTTTACCTTATTTTTTGCAAGGGATTCTTGAAGTTTGGTTATGTTAGAACAAGAAATGTCCACTTTAGCTTATTTTTTTGCAAGGGAAAACCGATCGTAACAACACAACCGGATCCGGACTCCCCCGTTTTGCCTGAGACTTCCTCACGAAAATGATGAAAATGAGGCTGCGGCCTAGGCGCGGCGGGGGGGTCGTGCACCAGGGGCCCCAACAATAATTATTCTTTAGAAGTAATAATGTTCAACAACAACAACAACAACAACAACAACAACAACAACAACAACAACAACAACAAGAGCAACGACAAAGACGACAACAACAACGACAACAGCAGCAGCAGCAGACCCCAGGGAGAAGCACTTGAACTCAAAAAATAGAACAGTTACCGGAAGGAACACAGAATTAACAGGAAGGGGGGCTGGGAGCAGAAAATACGTGGCAAAATCAGACCCGTCTGGTACACGTTGGCGAGCAGCCCGGTCGTTTTGTTCACCGACTAGTCTGAATCGACGCTGGCCTTCGGGCTCGTCTGAGCTTTCATCGTCCTGATGCGGGTTGCCCCGCGACCGTGCCCTTCTTGGCAATCATATCGGATCTCGTGGACCAGGGCGCTGCGCGCCGCTTGAGCGGACACGCGAGTGCCTACGCGAATGACCCCGCCAGTGATGATATGGCGGATTGCTCTCAGCTTCCCACTCCTCATCATCATCCGTAGTACGCTCCACGCGTCTCCAAGCCTTGCGGCCCGAAGGACGGCCACGTAGCACAACGGTGAAGTGAGAGCCCCCATTGTGTCCGAGCTCGCACTGGATCCGCTCAGGAAGGTCACCAGCGTCGCGCGGGTCACCCCGCAGAAGATCGTCGTCGCAAGTTACCCTGCGCGCAAGGTTCCGAATCACCTGCGGTCGGAGCGGCACTCGAAGCTCTTCCCCCGTAGCCAGCATCGTGTCATCATCAGAACTATCCGGCCCGTACCCATCGGAGTGCGCAGGTACCCCCGCCACCTCGCAGTCCGAGTCGGCGGGTGGTCGGTAGTCCTCGATGATCTCTACGCGCGCAGGATGCCCCGCAATGGCAACGCCTAGCCAGTCTGCGAGATCGATCTCATCGTGGCCAACGTAGACCTCCTCGAAGAGCTCCGCGGTGCACCTCTCGAGGGACACGCTCGCGCTCATGTACCTCGCGGACATGAAGTAGACGGCGGCAGTGGGGTTGTCCTCTGATTCGGCAGGAGGGGTGCCCCAATCGACATACTGAAATCAGAATCGGTTTGAACCAAGTATAACGACGGACCACTGCCTCTCCCGTCGCCTTGGGGGCACTAACGGCGAAACTGTTGGGTGCTCTGGCAGATATCATATTCCATTGCTTCCCCGCCTTACCTTACCCTTGCCGAAGAAGATTTCCTCATGCTGTTGTCCCTTAAGGGAGGCCAGGAATGTCAGCGCATCTCTACCGTGTAACCGTCGTCGTTCACCCTTACCTCTGCCCTCACCCTTTGACCTAAACACACGTCGAATTGCACGTCGTACCCTTCGAACTGGTGTCTTCATAAAACGTCTCCATCGGCGTTTCCGCTTCTGGTAGCCCAGGAATCTATATTGCGCCTGTTGCTCTTCAGCGTGGTGCGCGGGCAGATCGGAATAATCCAGCTTACCAGTGCCTTCATCTGACGAGGCGTCAGCGTCGGTGCCTGAGTCAAAGTCGGACTCCGCAGGTTGCCCCGCCTAGCCCATGAGGGTAGCGGCTTGGGTCGGGGCCGCCGTTGCCGACGGTCCCTGACATCGAGCCCAGGAGTCTTGCGACCCCATTGGCTGGCCACCTTACTGACTGAACAGAGTGGTGGCCTCGTTTGGTTGTGGATCGTCATTCCAGACGGTGCTGGCCGGTTTCCCCGAATGATTGCCACTATGGAAGACATCAGTGCTGTGGTCGCTAAATGCACCACCAATGTTGCCAGTTGTTCGCTCAGCCATATGGGCGCGAGCCCTCATGTGCTCCATGCGCTCCAGCAAGGAGTCGAACTGTGCTGCTGAGTCCTTGGCATTTGGTGGTTCAGTGGTTGTAGTACTTGCTGTGCGCGCGAAGTGCGAACACCTAAGGCTCTGAACAGTATGACTGCCAGGTTTTGAAAATTTGGGACGTTGAACCCCGCGGTGTCAGCTTCAAAGCGTGCAACCTCGAAGCGGGCCAACGTCTGGTTGATCCGTTCCCCCGCATGGACGCGAAAGTCAACCGGAGCCGTCCCCCAATTAAGTTGTCGCTCCTCTTCCAGGTTCTCAAGCTTAGTACTGACGAGGAACATTACGTAGGTGATTCCATCGGCGTGGCGCCCACCAACGTTAACTCCAAAGTTGATTACTGCGGGAGGAACTCTCATGGCTATGCGAGACCTGCAAGGCCACGCTGTAAAGCGGCGGCCTGTTGGGAGGGGGTCATAATGCCTGTGGCCACGTTGATCCAAGCATGTACGTCGCGAACGAACTCGCGGAAAGGTACGTTACCGGCAGGGTCCCAGTGAGGGCTGGTAGTACGCGCGTCGTCTGCACCACGCTGCATATGTCCAACAGCGTGTCCGATGGCGACCCAGAGGAAGCCAAAGATAGCGATGCCAATCCAGTGGCTTCGTAGGTCGGTGTCGGTTGTGCATGGCTGTT